GACTGTTTTGTATCTACTTGATGTTTACTTAGAACGTCGAGCTAATGGGCTTCACGTGTGTATATGATATATGATATATATGTATGGACATATATGGTTGAAAAAAATATTTGCACATCGTTATATTTATTAACATTTATATATTAATTAATCAAATTCAAGTTCATTCACTTCGTATCAATTAATATTACTTATATATTTTCATACGAATGAAACGTAGAAAAAAAATTATGCGCAAATATCTTTTATAACGTATTATTACGTGTATCTCTATGTATATCAGAATCATATTTTATTTTTTACATGAGAATTCCCAGAGGTATGATCGATAAAATATAAATACATATCCTTCACGCGTAGCAAGGAGACAGAGTTAAGGATGGGTTGACGTTATTTTGATCAACAGGCGTTATTTATGGCTCACGTTGTTAGAGAATTGGGAGTTTCATGTTTCGTAACAGTTTTACGATCGCCGATAAAATTATGCAACGTAATCTAATACGTATCTCGTTTCGCTGGTGTCCCAGGAGCCAGATCGCCGCCGCATGCTTTTCACTCGCACGAGCACAGACGAGTTGATAGTCGAGACAAAAATCGACTCTTTGTTATTGTGCGCCAAGTAGCAAATATTCTATCCTCGACGTCGGTTCGTGGGAATAATCAAAAAATGATGACAAATTTCTTACGCTTGATCCTATCGATGAAATCAGGGTCACGTCGTTTTGTTAATCGTTGATAATATCGATATCGAGAACTTTCGTTCGTAGCGATGATCTTTCGTATGATAGATACGTGTGTAAGTGTCGATAATGCAATATGCGTGCACACGCAAACACGTAAAGTGATAAAATTTGTCGTTGCAGTCATTGGTATTCACGATAATATCGTGCCTCTCCACTTTCTTTTTTCTTTTTATTTCTCGCTATAATTCTTTTTCAAGACCACGACACAGTCGATAAAACGAAATGTTAGGTTAACCACATATGGAATCAGGCGACAATTCACGTCACGTTTCTATTACGATTTATTTTTATGTCGATTATTTTTTATTTGGCCTACCACCGAAAGAAATCTTTGCCATTAGTGACCTTCGTTGCAGATAAGTTGAGCGCATATGATAAGAGAAGCACAACACAAGTCTATTATTATATCTGTGCGTTGTTTGTGTCTTGTCAGAAGAATTTCGATAACCAACACGAGAGAAAAAAAAGAGAAAATGATAGAGTGAATCGCGAGTAATGAAACAGATATAAGGGGTTAGGATCTATTTATCAATAAACGTATTCATGATATTTTCAGATCGCGAATAGAATGAAGTAAACACGATGCTGTTTTTCGCGCGAATGAAGAGATGACTTCGATGAGTTATCGTCATTTGTTACGAATAATAATGTAATCGTTACGCGTAATAATCGTGATTCGTTAGCTTTGAACTAGCCATAAAAAATTAACGGATTTATATAATATATACAAATATATATATATATATATATATATTGTACTTACATATACATGTCATCGGCATCTGTCAATCTTGATTAAAATGAAAAAATGGTTGAATTCTTTTTCAAAAATGAATAAAATGATTCAAAAACGATACGGAAAATATTCAAAATATGAATCAGATACATAGCACATTTGAAATAACGGTTTCGATTAAAATTCAATATGGCCGAATTAGTCTCTAAATGTACTTTCACTTGAATGTCGACATCGATGTCACAAACAACACAAACGCATCCACACAAACATAATATTGAAAAACACTTATGATTGCGTCACAAATGAATATTACTCGATATATCATTGAAATTTATGTAGCATACAATATTAAGATACGAACTGCGTAAAAAGCCACGTTGCAAAAATACACAAATTGTCGCATAGGTTCAATTTGCGACGCAAAAAGAACAAACGACCGTTTTCTCTAGAATTTCGATGTAATATACCCAAGGGCCAGAGACGTAAATATTTACACCTTGTGAAGCACAGAGCTGTTTCATACCCTGTGATCCCTCGAAGCAAAGGTACACACGACAAAAGTTACATTCGTGAAAAAAGAACTGTAGTGAACGTAGTGTATACTGTCACCCGAGCACCATATTTACTGACCGCAAAAACACGCGATACATTTCGAAGAAACATTTTTAGAACGTTCTCTGTTCTTGGTCGAAAAATCTAGAAATATAAATGATACGAATTTTACGAATAACTTGAATATACGTAGAATATATCTGCTTATCATTGAAATATATTGCTTATCTGCTTATGTTATATATATTTTGAATTATTGCTAATTAGAAATATATACGTGAAATTAAACATGTATATTCTACGTACAATTACATCGAAAATAGTTAAAACGAACCGACAGAGAAACTCACGAAAACTTTCAACGGTACACCATACTCGACACTGAAAGGTTTTTTATGTGACACGATGTAACGAGATTGAAATGTTCTCATACGGTCGATACGAAACCGTACCATAAAGGCATAAAAAAAAAGGAGGAATTCAACACTATATTTGTTCCCTTGATTCACGATCGCCATTTCTAACTATGTTAATTCCACAAGTTTCCGTGTCTCTAGTGTTTCCTTTCAAATCGTTCAATCTACTTTCCCTTTATGATGAAATTTGAATTCGGTAAAAAAATCAATTTTTAATTTATAGAGTATTATCTCATTAAGATTTGTTCATAAGTTCGAAAGATACGTCGAAACCCTGTAGTATCACACATATATTCCTCTATATACGCACACACGCATATCGAGGATTATTCGCAAGCCTCCTCGCCGGCTTCGAAAAGTAAAACGCGCGCTCGTATATGCAGCGCCGGTGTGAGTGTGAGCTGGATAGACATAACAGTCAGAGAAGGAAAGAAACATAGAGAGGTAGCGTGCGCCCGTCGGAGGGACGACAACGGCGCGCATCGATTGGCGCGCTAGCCGTGACCCCCACCATGCTGCTTTCGCTTTCACCCAATGGGGCCTCACTTTCGCGCTCGCCCGCCGCCGAGCCACGGCAGCCGGCACGCTGTCGTCGCCGGCGCTCAGTGACTGGTGCACCCTAC